AGCATCCCCGAGAGCGCTAGCCAGACAAGCTGGGTTTGCACCCTCATGCTTTGCTGGACTTTCGGCGCGTTTGGGCACTGCCACTGCCGCCACATTGGCTGCTTCAACACGTGGAAAGCCGCTGTTCGACAGTATGCAGTTTCACTCCAAGTGTTCGCACAGTTGCCGATGTGCCGTCATGGTACGGCGTCTGCGTACGTGCGAACTGCCGCCGCCGGCGCCCCTTCCGAGCAGGGGCCTGGACCCCGACGACTTCACTTGCAGCACGATCATCAGCGCGTGCGTCCGCGGCGGGGACCCGCACCAGGCCTCTTGGTGGCTGAAGGACCGCGCGCTTTCCTCGTCGGCCTGGCGGCGTCGGCGTCGTGGTCGTCGTCGGCTCGGTCGTCGGTCGTCGGCGTCGGTCGTCGTCGGCTCGGTCATTGGCGCCGGCGTCGTTGTCGTCGGCGTCGGCGTCGGTCGTCGTTTTGGGGATCTTCCTGGGGCCCTCCCAGTGGCATCTTCCTGGGGCCCACCGGCGGAGCCAGGGCCGCCTCGCAGGTCAGCGCGGCGGCGGCCATGGGGGCAGGCGCCCCTCCTGGTCGCTTCTCCCTCTCGTTGTCCTCCTCGTCCTCCGCCTCCTCCTTCCCTCGTCGTCGCCGTCGTCGTCGTCGTCGTCGTCGTCGTCGTTCGCCTCCCCGGCCATCTCGGGCCGTCGGGTGCGGCCAGCAGAGGCTCGTTTCCGCCCCGGGGTCTGGGTCGGGGGCCGCTGCCCGCGGGCTGGAGGGAGCTCCGAGCGCACAGTGATGGTTCGAGGCTGTTCGACCGTAGGTCTGGTTCTAGCTCGGCTCCATCTAGACTCCAGCTCGGCTCAAGTTCGTCCCAAGCTCGAGCTTTCGACGCAGTACCGGCGCACGAGTGGAGCCGCCGGTTGTTCCGGAAGGGTCACCAGAGCGAGCATCGTATATGCTCCTCTTCGTTCCCTCGCCCTCCCGTGGGCCCCTCCTCCCCCCCCTCCCCCTTGCAAAATGCCAGACGACATGATGTTCTCGACCCCGTCGTGCTCCCTCGATGCCGGCCTAGGGGGACCGACACCGGGCCCCCAGACCATCGACAATGGGCCCGCGACGAGAAGCTGCCCGCTCCGGGGAAGGGGTCGGGACTTCAGGGGCCCGCGAATCGAACAATATCCCACCGTCGCAGGTCTGGATTTTGCCTCGGCGCCCAGATGGGCTACAGTAAACCCGCATAGCAAGGATGGGCAGCCTTCACAAGGGTACATGCGTCGGCTCACCTATTGCAGGTTGGCTTGAGCGTGCTCTTTGTTTTGGGCTTGATTCCCTAGGCTCCTCACCCCCCTCCTCCTGCGCTGTTTCACCTCTATGCCGGTATTTGTCCACCAGCTGCTGCGCAATGCAGCCGATTTTGAAAACCACGTTGACCGCTCCTCCCTCTTGCCTCCTCCTCCTCCTCCTCCTCCAGGTTCGTGGTGACGTTTATCCGGCCCGCCATTTTCGAGCCTTGCCGCTAATCAGCTTCTGTGCGGTACGAGGCCGTGTCCGTGCGCAGTGCCAGGGGATGGCAGCAGCTCATATTGGGGTGCGCTCATAGCCCCCCCATGAGGGGAAGCGGATTCGGTGCTGTGTCGCTGTGGGAAAGAAGCTGCTGAGTGTTCGCTGAAAAAAAAACAAGGGTACCCTTGCATCCTGGCCCCTTCGGCCCATCCTTGGCGGCTTCCGCTGGCCAGCCTCGTTCGAAAAAACGCTGGCATGGCGCTCCAAGGCCCTTGCATCCTTACCGCGCATCCTTAATATACTACGGGTTGACCGATGTCCCCGCAGACGCGGAGAGGAGCAATACCGAAATGATGACGAGCGCCCTCGTCAGAAGCGCAAGGTGTGCAAAGCCGCTGGGTCGCCCCGAGCTGCGCCTTCGTGGACGACCGAACCGAACCCTCATCGCCCCTGCACGTGCCCCGCGTGGCGAAGCCGCCCCAGCGCCTTGCGTGGCGAGTCCCCCCTCCCCCCGGCCCCCTGTGGGGCGCCCGCTCTGGCGGCGGAGGTCCCGAGGTGGCGAAGCAGCCGCCAGGCCGCCCCGCCCCTCCGCCCTCAGAGGGGGCGGCCCCTCGCAGCGGGCCGCGGCTCCGGCCCCCTCCCCCGTGACGCTGCGGACACCGAGCCAGTGCCCCCGCCCCGCCGCGACCGCTTCGCCTGCCGCAGGCGGGCCCAGGGTGGCCGCGCCGCTCTGCGCTCCCCAGGCGCTGGGGCCTTCCCTTCCGCGAGACAGGGACCGCTGCCCGAGAGGTGGAGCTGGTCCTCCTGCTGGTGTCTCTCTGACTCTTCAGTTGGCTCCCTCCTCCCCTCAGCACCGGCGCGCCGCGCAGCACTCGGCTCTGGCGCGGCAAGCTTGCCGTTTCTCATTCTCATCTTCCGCACCCGTGCCCTCAGGTAGCGCAGTGCGGGCCGCACTTCATGGCAGAGCTGCCGCTCTGCCAGCTCGGCCTCGAAGCAGCACTCAGCAGCGCCGCTCGCGGTGCCGCGGGCGCCGGGCCGCCGGCGGCGATGATCCCAGGGACTGCCCTCATCATGGACGCGGTGACGAGCGAATTTGGATCAGTTTCCCCCGCCAGCGAATTGAAAGACATATTCCTACGTGCGAGGTTGTCTACGGCAGAGGACCTAAGGGCACTTTCAGAGACTGCGTCCGTCGCAGACATGGTCAATGAATTGTCTACGTATTGGCATGACCTCCAGAATACAGACGCACATTGCCCCCCCGGCGTCAGTGCAGCATTGTTGAAGGTGGTGAAGGCGATCTGCCCCGTTTCGGCGCCTATGGCACCCGAGCGGCCAGGAGAGGCGTCAGCCCCAGCGGGTGTCCAGAACCAGTTGCGCCTATTGCAGGCGGCTTTGACGCTCAGCAGCGGGTCCGCGATGTCGGTCCTTGAGGAGGAGACCAAGGACGACCTTGGCCATCTCATCGAGGCGGCAGGCCTCGGCGAGCCCGCGCTGCGCGCCTTCCCTGCGACCAAGCTATGCGACGCCGCCGCGAAGCTCGGCGAGCCCCTGCCGCAGGAGGACTCCATCGAGGGGCTCGAACAGTCCAGGTCCTGGACGGAGGGCCGGGCCTTTGCGGAATGGGTCGTAGCCTTCATTCGCTACTCTTGGGCTGGCTTGCTGCGCGGTCGCATCACAGTCGCGTCGGTGTTGAATCACATCGACAAGGTAGCGCGTCTGGCGGCGGACACTGCCAGCCCGGCTTCGCAGGCCGAGAAGAACGCCCTCGCCTACGACCAGCTGGTCAGGAGCACCGCTTGGGCTGCAGCCAAGCGCAAGGCCGACCCAGCGGCCTTTGCTACAACGATGTCCGGTGACAAGCAGGACTTGGTCACGCAGGCAAAGGAGGGAGCGAAGGATGTCAAGCTCCACGCCCCGGGCGCGAGCACGTGGGCCCAGCGGAAGCCGGATGCGGTCCTTTCTGCTTCAGGCACTTCTCCGGCAAGTGCGACATGCACGAGCGCGGCAAGACGCGCGTCTTCCACCACGAATGCCCGTTCTGCGCCAAGACACAGGAGGGCTGCTTAGCGAACCACATCAAGCCGCTCGGCCTGGAGCTGATCAAGACCAGGGACAAGCGTGCCCTCGAGGAGCGCGCCGGCGGCAAGGGCGCAACCAAAGGCGGGCACCCGTGGTCTCGCGGGCGCGGTGCAGGGGGCCAGGCCGACGGCGGGCGGGCGGAGCGCAGGCGCTCCCGCTCCCGCAGCCGCGGGCTCGTGCCGGCCAAGCGCGAGTACTAGGGGTGCCCAGCTGCGGGGGGCCCCCGCTAGCGGCCGGGGCCCGCCCCGCGGCGGTTGGGAAGACGCCCGAGCCCGCTGCCGCCGCTCCGCCTGCCGCGCCAGCAGACCACGAGGCGACGTCGGCGTGGGCTCAGTCAGCGCCGTTCGCGCTCCCGGAGCTAGGCTGCCATTGGGAGCAATCGCTCTGCGATGCTATGTCGCTCAGGGCCAAGCTTGGCGCGGGCTTGTCTGATTTCCAGCAGCAGCAGCGGCGCAAGCTCGCCAGCTGGAAACAGCACTTCCAGGCGACCGGCGAGCAGGCGCAGTGGGCAAGCAGCATGCCCGCGAGCGTCAGGCAGGTCTGCGTCCACCTGCAGGGTCCGCTCCTCAAGGCTGCCTTGAGAGCGGCCCGCCACGACGAAGCCGGCATTGTCGATGACCTGCGCGGCGGGTTCCCGGCGATCGGGTGCACCCCCCCGAGCGGCACCTGGTCGCCGCGCGCGGAGCAGCCCGCCGGCGAGCTCAGCGACCTCTTACAGGCAGCCAGGGAGCGTCAAGGCGCTGGCCGCGTCTCCCTGGCAACTGCGCGCCAGGGCTAGCTGTGGTCGGCGGTCGCCGCGCAAGCCGCGCGCGGGCGCTTCGAGGTTGTCCGGGGCTCTGGGCTCTCAGACCTGGTGCGCCGAGTCCGGTGTCAGCTTGGCGATTTCGTCGACCAGCTATACTTCGGCGCCGAGCAGGACGGCAAAATCCGCGGCTGCCAAGGATCTCGCGCTTCTGGCGTGGCTGCTTCCACCCGGCTGATCGAGAATATGCACATGATGGGCATCGACGGCGTCACCGCGCTGGCCCGGGCAGGCGTGGGCGTCCGCGCGCAGGAGCAGCTCAATTTGGCCAAAGTTGATTGGAAGAAGATGTTCCACCGGGCGCTTGCTCCCCGAGCATCGCCGGTTCTTCGTCTCCGTCGTGCTCGACACGGACAAGGGCGAGTTGGTCGCAGTCATTCCCAATTGTATGACATTCGGCGGCCGCGCCCAGCCACAGCAGTGTTCGCGTATGCCGCGGGCAGTCGCGACGGTGGCCCGCCGTTTCTTCGGGCTGCTCTGCGACCACCACGTAGACGACGTGGTCGTGTGCGCTCCCCAGAGCCTAGCCGCTGGCGAATTCCGGCTGCTGTGCGACCTGCACGAGCTCTTTGGCTTCGAGGTCGCTGGGGCCAGGGGCCCGGAAGACAAGTTCTTCGAGCCGAGGCGCGGCGGCGTGCTTCTGGTGGCCGCCTTCCACCTGCCACCGCCGCGCGGCATGGCGGAGGACGTTCTCGTGGAGTGGTCGATCCCCGCATGGAAGGCCACCGCGTACGCGGCCGAGTTGTCGCAGGCGCGAGACAAGTGCACCCCGGGCGCGGCGTCCAAGCTGGGGGGGCGCTTCACTTGGGCCTTCTCCTTGGTGTGGGGCAAGGCAGGTGGCATCTTCCTCCGGGCTATCTACGACCAAGCCCACGGGTCGACGTCGCGGACGGATCGCCGTTTCCGGATGTCCGTCGACGGCCTGCGCGAGATGCTTAGCGCGCCGGGGCCCGGGCAGTTTTCCAGGCCGGTGCTGCGCCTGCCTCGATCGCGCCCGCGCTGCGCTCTGATCGGAGACGCCAGAGGCCGCGGCGAGCCGTGCGGCACTGAGGCGTTGGGGGCCTTCCTCCTGGGCGCGCGGCAGCCAGTCGCCGAGTTCTTCGTCGCGCCCGTGGACTCGGCCCTCGAGCGCTTCCTGCCCCCCGGGCGGGAGCAGCGCATCAACGAGGCCGAGACCCTCTGGGTCTGGCTTGCTTTTCGGACGTGGGGCCGCCATCTGGAAGGCGCAGGTTTCGCCATCGTCGTGGACAGCTCCGCGGCGGAGGGCGTCATCCGCAAAAGCGTGAGCGGATCGGTCGCGCTATGCTGCCTGAGCGCAGAGGGGTGGCGGGACGGCCGCCTGCGAGGCGCGTGCCTCTGGGTGGTTCGCATCCCGTCCGAGGTGAATCCGGCAGATCCGCTGAGCCGCTTGATCGTCCAGCCGGCTCTGGCACGCGGCTGGCGCCAGGTGTCCGCGGACGCGCTGACGCAGTGGCATTTCGATCCCCGCATGTGGGGCCGGTGGCCGCCCGCGCGGGTTGTCATCTATGTGGGGCAGGGCTGTTCGCAGCTTCCCCGTAGCCGTGTCCGGGGCCAGTCTACTCTCCAAGCCAAGTGCGTCTGCGCCGCCGACCCTCTGCTATGTGTGCACATGTGGGTCTCATGGCTACTCGCAGGCCGCCGTGACATGAACGCAGAAGTGTACCCGCCTGGGCACTGCGCCAAGTTCCTCGCCGGCCTCCGCGAGGACTTGGTGGCCGTAGGCACGCCGGCGGCAGAGGCGTCGGGGATTGCTTCCCATGCCTTCCGCCACGGCGCTGCGATGGACATACGCGACACAGACGGGTTCGCAGCTGCGTGCGCCCGTTGGGTGTGGCGCGCGCAGCACGCTGCCCCCACGGGTCACCCTCCCGTGGCGCGGGGCCTCCCTCCGCTGGGCAGGGTTTGGAGGGGCTCCGCCTCGGCGGGCTGAGCAGGCGTCTTCGGGGATTGTCAAACGGTGTGGCGACCGCACCCGGCGGCGAAATCCGAACACTACCCCCGCCGCCCAACGCCTCGGGCAACTCGATGGGGGACTGAGGGCAGGGTTCGGAGTTCGTTGAACACGCAGCGGAATCCGAACCCTGCCCCCTCCCCCCATCGATTCGGAAGAGTCGCCGGTCAGTGGGGGTAGGGTTCGGATGTCGCCACCGGAGCACCGCGCGGCGTCTCCGTGGGGGCCTCGGGGGGCATCACCGCGCAGTGTTGGGGCTCGGTTCGTGGGGCCGCCGCCAGGGTTAACAAAAACCGTGCGGCGGCGGACCGCTCGCGGATGTCGAGGTCACCGAGCAGTCCGTCACCACGCCGAGTTGGGACCCTCTGCGTTCCCCCGCCCTCCCCCGTCCGCTCGGGCGGTCCCGTGGCGGGGGGATTGGGGAGGGCGCAGACTCGAGGAACGAGCGCGGGGTCCTGTCGACGCTGGTCTCGGTCACGGCCCGCGCTCCCCATCCTGCTCATAGGCATCGCTTTTTCTTCCCCTCCGGGTGAGCCGCCGGGCAGGCGGCCTCTCGGCTTCCAGGGCCAGGAGGGGTGGGTGGGGGCCTGGCCGCGTTTTTTTGTTGTTTCCGGGTGTTGTCAGAAGTTGTTTCCTCGGCCCAAGGTGTTCCAAAATTGAGAAGGCCTTGCGGCCAGTGCCGCCGACCCTGAAGACGAGGAGGGGGAGGAGGAGGAGGAGGAGGAGGAGGAGGAGGAGGAGGAGGAGGAGGAAGAGGAGGAGGAGGATGATGATGATGATGAGGAGGAGGAGGAGGAGGAGGAGGAGGAGGAGGAGGAGGAGGAGGAGGAGGAAGTGCAGGAGGATCCTTTAGGGGCCTCCGGAGAGCTTCTTGGGGCCGAGGGCTCCAAATGTCCGTTTCGATCCTCCGTCCGGGCACCCTCTTGGAGCCGTCCTGGAGACACGCTGGGGATGACTTGGGCCAGGGTCTCCTTCGGCAGCATCCGATCTCTCCGTTCCACTGGGCTTTGTTGCCGGTGCTTCTTGGAGAGAAGCCCGAAAATTGGGACGGTCTCGCGCGCCATCGGCCGCGGGGCACGGGCGCGCGACCTTCCTCCTGGACCACTTCGGCGTTCTAGGGAGAAGGGTGGGTATTGAGGGACAGCGGCCGGGAGGTTGTTCGCCGTTGTCGGTCTCCCGGGGCTCCTCCCGTACCCTGGGGTCGCCGAAAGACGACGCGGGGTGAAAGCTGGTCCCAGGGAGTGGCCGGAGGTCCAGGATCCGTTGCCCCCAGGACCCTTCTCCCTCACGCCAGGCTGATCCGGCCCTCTGGCCAGGGCTCCACGGAAACGGCGCGGTGGCGACCTTCGCGGACCGTGCTCGCTTCGATTGCGGCTTGCAGCGGAATCTGAGACCAGAACTAACACAATATGCCGTCTTCTTCCCTGCCTGGGCGCGGCGATGGCACCAGCCACGGCGGGCGGGAGACGTGTAGGCACTCTGTGGATGAGACGATATGGTGTCGCTGTCTTCTTGCAGAGACGGAGGAGGGATGAGGAGGAGGGTGCTCGTCCTCCTCGGCCTCCTTGTCCGCCTCCTTCTCCTTCTCCTGCTCTTCCTACTCCTCCTCCTCCTCCTCCTCCTCCTCCTCCCACTTCTCGTGGAGGACGAGTTTGATGATGATGATGATGATGATGATGATGATGGTGATGGTGATGGTGATGGTGATGGTGATGATGATGATGATGATGATGATGATGACGATGATGATGATGATGATGATGATGATGATGATGATGATGATGATGATGATGATGATGATGATGATGATGATGATGATGATGATGATGATGATGATGATGATGATGAGAGGAGGAGGAGGGAGGAGGAGGAGGACAGAGGAGGAGGTGGCACGAGGACGAGACGGTGGCAGGCCAGGAAGAGGAAGAGGAGGGGGGAGGAGGAGGAGGAGGAGGAGGAGAGGAGGAGAGGAGGAGGGAGGAGGAGGGAGGAGGAGGAGGAGGAGGAGGGCGAGGACGATGACGAGAACGAGCAGGAGGAGGAGGAGGAGGAGGAGGAGGAGGAGGAGGAGGAGGAGGAGGAGGAGGAGGAGAAGGAGCATGAGGAGGAGGAGAAGGAAGAGGAGTACCAGTGTAATCCCAGGACTCATCAACGTTGTTGGAATAAACTCTCCCTCCGAGCTCCCTTTTCATAGGCCCCATACAAGGGGTCGTGTCCACTGAGGGAACTGCCTCGGTGGGAGAACCGTTGAAAGACCCTAAAGACCCCAACGCCACGGATGAACCCGACGTTGGCTTCTTGACGATCCTGACTCGTGCCAGAACACCATCCTAGGACTTCAACACCGCGCATCAACGTACCTGTTGCACCCTCACAATCCATTATCCTTCCGAAAGACAATTTCTGGTATGTTGACCATGGGGATCCGTGCAACTCTTGTAAATTCTTAAAACGAATGTGCGCGGCGCCAAGGCGAGAGTCACATGTTGAAAACCGCCCGCCGTCAACCCGTGAAGCTTTTGCACAGATTGTTAAAACGAATATGCGCGGCGCTACAGCAAGAGCCTCATTTTGAAAACCAACCGCCCTCAAGCCGCAAAACCCTTTGCAAGTTTTTAAGACGAGCGTTCGCGGCGCTAAGGCGAGAGCCACATTTTGAAAACCGCCCGCCGTAGAGCCGTAAAAACCCTGGAGGAGTTATTCATAAGGAGAGTTGTTCATAAGAAAAAGGAATGGATGATGATGATGATGATGATGATGATGATGATGATGATGATGATGATGATGATGATGATGATGAGGAGGAGGAGGAGGAGGAGGAGGAGGAGGAGGAGGAGGAGGAGGAGGAGGATGAGGAGAAGAAGGAGAGGAGTAGGAGGAGGAGGAGGTGGAGAGGAGGAGGAGGAGGAGGAAGGGGAGGAGGAGGATGAGTAGGAGTAGGATGAGGAGGATGAGGTGAACAGATTGGACCGGCGGTCGTCGCAGCCAGCGTCTGTCCCCACGTGGTGCCCCCCCGCTTGCGCGAGAGCTATTCTCCTGGAGCCGCTGGTTGCAGCCTCTTGGTCAACGCCTCGATCGAGGCGGACAATCTGCTGCGTGCAGTTAGTTCCTGCCCCCGCATGGCACTCTCCCCGTTACTCGGGCAAGGGTCCAAGCCTGCTGCGTGCAGCTGCCTTCGGCCCCGCCGCAGGGGACTTTTGTCGATGCGTGGTCACCTCTGGCGCCGGGAGACGCCAGGGAAACCAGCTACGCCTAGCTGATTCGTTCAGAAGGTGCCAACTCGCTGAGTCGATTTGCCCCTCTTAGCTGACTGCGTCTTGCCCCGTTTCGCCGCGACCGAACATGACAGATCTGTTGACGCCCCTTTGCTACACTGCCCCCCCTTTCGCCCATCCTGGCAGGACGGGCCAGGCGGATCGGTGGATTCGGCAGTGTCGACCGCTGCCGTGGTCCAGCCGTCCAGGGTACCCTCGCGAGGCAAACATAACGCGGCGGAAGGAGCTCTCCTCCCACCATGGCGAGCAGAGCGCCCCGAGCTACACCGCGGTCATCCAGGCCCTCGCGCGCGCAGGATGCACAGAGGAGGCCGGCATGCTGTTCGAGGGGCCTCGCTCCTGCGCGTGGACACCACCAGCTGCCTCGCGCTCTTGGCGATGCGGGGGAAGCCCTCGCAAGGCTCTGAAAGTCTCGCTCATCTCGTGGTGGGGTAGCGGGCGCTGTCCCTTAATCTTCTCTCATGCTGGGGATGGACAGAAAGAGAGAGAGAGAGAGAGATAGAGAAATAGAGAGAGAGAGAGCGAGAGAGAGATAGAGAGAGGCGGAGAACGGCACGGATGTTGCATTGGTTTCTGCACATCAGGCTCCAGGAAGTGCACATGATATCTCCCTTCGAATCTGCACCCAGTTTTCGAGATGTACACATGTTCCTCTGGGGTATGCCGTGTGTGCATGTGTGTGTGTGTGTACGTGTACGTGTACGTGTGCGTGTGCGTGTGCGTGTGCGTGTGTGTGTGTGTGTGTTTGTGTGTTTGTGTGTTTGTGTGTTTGTGTGTTTGTGTGTTTGTATGTGTATGTGTATGTGTATGTGTATGTGTATGTGTATGTGTATGTGTGTGTGTGCGTGCGTGCGTGCGTGCGTGCGTGCGTGCGTGCGTGCGTGCGTACGCGCGCGTGCGTGCGTGTGTGTGTGTGTGTGTGAGCGCGCTGTATGATGACAGGTGTATATGTACACAAATGTCTATCGATATGTCAACTAGTAAGACCACTCCGTGCATATCGCTCCTCGTGCCAGCAGGAGAGAGAGAGAGATAAGACATGTGTTTACTGGTGTGTGTGTGTGTATGTATATATATGTATAAAATAATAGACAGAGCGAGATCACCCAACTGCCATCCAACCCCACCTTCTTTTCCCCTCCGCCTCTCCTTTCCAGCCAGGCTGTCTGGGTGGGTTCGGGTGAAGAGCAGCACTCCCGGACCCCCAGGACGGGAGCGATCTCTACTGCCGCGCGTCGCGCTGGATCTCGTGCTCCGGAGCTCCGGCGCCAGACCCCTGGGAGGCCACGCGCAGATCCACTGGCCCAATGCAACCAGCCTGGCGTTCCGCAGGGGGCGAGATCTGGTCCTGACCCCGTTCTCCACCGTGCGCGGCCCCCTCCACTGGGCAGGCCCGGGCAGGAGGAAGATCAATCGTTCCAGAGCGTTCTGTAGTGCCGTTAGCGACACCTGGGAGTCCGTGCGACTGGAGGGAGCCACTCTTGATTGTCGCCCCAGCAGAACCTGCCCAGTCCGTGCAAACCCTCTGTCTGAAACCGCCCCTCTCGGCTCTCGGAGCTCGCTGGGGGTGCTCCGAAGGGCGGACGGGGCGCCTGGCCAGTCCCCTGGACCCGGCGCCCCCCTCTGAGGTTCCGATGCGCCTCTGCCCGGTCCTGCCGTGTTCGGGCCCTCGTTTTCTTCTTCCTTGTCCCCCTCCTCCTCCTCCTCCTCCTCCTCCTCCTCCTCCTCCTCCTCGCGAGCGCGTGAGGGGGTGACCCCTCGCCGGAGTGACCTCTGGTGAGTGGCTTTGGGTGCGAAGTCATGGGGGGCGGTACCGGCGGGGGGGGGAGAAGGGTGCCCTTTTCGGGGCCGTCTCTGGGGCCCTAAAGGGCCCCGTTAGGGGCCCTAGAGGGCTTCTTTTCTGCAGCACTCGCTGCCCCCCTCCGATTTATCGCCCCCTCCATGTTGTCGCGCTCAATGGCTTTCGGGGGGCCCCGCAGGGTGTGGGGCACGACCAGGCACGCAGGCCGCTGCTGCCGCACCGCGTGTGCGCAGCGATGGGCAATCCGCGCGCCAAAGGTCTAGGCCTTCTGGACGGGCTCGGAGTGGGTGGGATCGGAGGATTGCGCCGCATCGCCGATGCATCGGGGATGCAACTCGATGTGGAGCCCGACTGGCTCCAAGCCGGTGCCGCCGGCGCATTGCCGGCGACGCGGCGCGATCTTCCGACGCCTTCTGTGCGGAACCCACCTGGCCTGCGTCTGAAAGGTCCTCAAGGTCTCCTCGAATTTGATGTCGCTCCTCGCATGCAGCCGACTCCTTCCTCGCATCCGCCACCACCGCGCCGTGCGGGCTCCTCAGGCGAGCGCGTGCCAGCGCAGCGGCGACGCCGCCGGCGTTGCACGCTGGCAGCGGGAGGCGGCGAGCCGCGGCGTGCAGGTGCCAGGGGGCAGGAGAGGGGGGAGGTCGCGGGCCCTGGCGGTGCCGGTGGCGCCACCTCGGAGACGGACCGCTCGACGTCCAGCGCCGGGCCCTCGGCATGCCCCCTCTCGGGCTCGGCTCTCCTGCGGTCATGGGGTGCGGCCGCAAGCAGGCCAACACCAGGGGTGTCGCGCCCGCGCGCCCTGCAGCGGCACGGGCAGGGGAGCGGAGCCCTCGGGACGAAGAAGGGATCGGCACTGCACACCGGACCGCGGCTCGGCTGAGGCTCCCCTTTCCTTCTGTCCGCTTCGTTCACCTTGGCCGCCTCGCGGGAGCACCCGAGGGGATTGGGTCACATCAGTTCGAAGGCCCTGGAGCCCTGAGGACGCCTCCAGGGGGGGCTTGCGACAGCTTCCAGCGCTGTCCAGGGCCGCCAGGTGTTCCAGGAGCTTCTGAGGTGGCTTCCAGAGGGCAGC